ACTCACAAGGAGGTTCGACTCTGAGATCCTGAGAGAAACACAAACCAATTGGTGGATTCCCGGCCATCGCTTTGATAGTCCTGATTTCTCCACTTTCCTCCTGCTTTTTCTTGGATGTATTATATATTATATCATGCAATATGGTTATCTTATCTATTCTTATCTTCTCCCCAAATCTATTCAATCTATTCTAGTCTTCCAAGAGCTTCAAAGGGGTGTTAAGCATGGAGGATGGGGTGCCCTTGTCACATCCACTCACTGGATGGGACTAAATACCACCCCGTCTTGTGACTCCTGGTAGATAAGTCCTTCTTAAGACTCATTCCCAAAGACTTCGTATTTGACTGCCAGGATCTTCCAACTGCCAGGATATTATTCAATCTATTTTAGTTTTGTTGGAAGAAGTCTATTCTAGTCTTTCCTGTAGATGGATAGAGATGGGACTTTTGGTTGTGTTTTCCTTTTTAAATCCCGAAGTCCCATCTCTAGGGCCCCGACTGCATGTCTTCCCGCGAGGTCGCGAACCTGAGTGGTGAGGTGAGATGGATGGAAAGCTCTTCCAGGCCGTCTCGCTGCTGGCGTTGGTCGTGCCCCACCGATGGTCTTTGGTTCGGAAGGGCCGTAAAAAAACACATGTTGTGTGAGCCCAAACAGATCAAACAGCATCGTGCCTACCAGGAATCAAGCATTATATATAACTTGTTCTGACACAAACCTTTCCAGGAAGAACTTTCGAGCTTTGTCACAGCAACGAGCGTTCCTTGCGGAGGCTGAACTTTCTCTAAAGTGCATCCGCGTCTGCAAAATCAGAAAGCAAGTTGCACGTATCCTATTGACAAGTGCTCGTCTTCTTGCCAGTCGAATGATTGCCGAACCTGGAGAAGGACTTCACCGTCCACAATTGAAAACGGATTCAACCCAAAGTAGGGCCAGGGTTCCAGTTCCAAAAGGAAACCTCAAGCGAATCCTCCATTCCATTTGGGGGACGCTCAGATCCTCTTGATCTCTTGGGATAAAAAAAGCAAATCTGACGGCTACGCGTTTCAGTTCCGAGAAGCTCTTCGTTGATGCTTCCCACCGGCGCGGGGTAGACCTGGAGCAAGCGAGCGGAGCATAGCGGAGCGAGCAGGGTGGCTTCGAACGGGTGGCATCAGCGTCAGTCCGTCGTTTTCGCGCATGGTCGGTGTGGGCGAACACCCCATGTTCGGAACATCCCAAAACCATCTCATCCCATATTTCCTTGAAAAGTGACGTCTCTTCATGAATCGTGGTGTAACCAGTCTCCGTCCTAAAACGACCCACCGGACTCGTCTCCGCGGAAGGGAGACTCGAGACGAGACGGTGGAGAGAGCCGAGAGCCGGGCCCGTGGCGTGATGCCGCAGCCATGTCGGACTTCACGGCTCCTGATGCACGTGACGACCGGGACGACGGCGGACGTGACGACCGGGACGACGGCTTCTGGACGGCGGGTTCGGGGCGTGGTTCGGTTCGGGGGTGAAGGTTCGGAGGTTCGGGTTGGTTCGGGAGGTTCTGTTTCCAAGAAGATGTCAGGACAAGTTAAGATGCAACAGAGTTATAGCAACCTAGAACCTGAATGACTTCTAGTTTGGACCACCAACCGCTCAAAATATGGTGTTTTCCCATCAAAACAAAGGTCAAATGGTTCTAGGAAGTTATAGTTTCATAACAGGTGCCAGTATGAAGTCATGTTGTCTTTGTGACTGAGGTACTGTTATTTCATCTCGCGTCCTTCCAATATATGAAGCGGATGAATGTCTCCTGCAAGGAACACGCAAAACAAACAGCCCAGGTCCACAACATGAGACAACAATTCGTCTGGCAAGTGACCCAACCGACAAAGTTCTTGTTCCTTTCAGTATCCAATCTCAATAAAAAACACACAATCTGGTCATAATCAGAATCATCATGTACAATGTAACAATGATCTGGAGGGTGCCAACCAAGTTTCATTATGCTTATTCAAACATATTCCAAACACACAACCCATGTGCAACTTGTATCTTCACACATCTTGAAATTTGCGGTGTTGCAAATAACAGATTGGTGGCTTTCCCATATGGGATCATGACACATCGCTTGTCTTGCTTAATATACATGTTCATGTCTTACTGAAGGATGCTTCTGCTCTCTCATGAACCTGGTGGCGTCACGTCTAACGGTCTCGGTACTCTTGTCGTTCATCAGAAGGTCTGCTTTTCGTACATCTCTGCAAATGCTTTAGGCAAAAACAACAGCCTGAGCACTGCCCGGCCTCCAAAACCAAGTTGATCCACCGGTGGTGCCGTTTTTGGAGTCGTTTTCCTTCTTCCATGGTCCGAACCTCTTTCTTGCTCCCCAAAAAAACGGGAGGCCCGGACCGGAGAGACCGCGGAGAGACCGGAGACCGCGGAGAGACCGCTCCTCAAGGTCTCAGCCTGTGTCCAGGGTTTTCCTGTAAACTGCCAGGCCGGTGCATCGCCTTCGGCCAGGAAGGAGGAAGAAAAACACCTCTGGACACGTGGTGTAAATAAATTTAGCAGCTGAGTGCATGTGTGTGTGTGTGTTTGTGTGTTGTTCTGTCGCATCTCCATCAGAGAAAGCTCTCATGTCATGCTATCATCACACAAGTATATACATAAGTGCTTACTTATTGCAGGCCACCATGCCAAACATTTGGGCAGTACTGCAGTACACATTCAAGACCTCCGGACCTCCGGACTCCAAAGGTCACTAATTCAGGTCTGTGCCCGAGTCCAAACGAAAAAAACATACCAGAAAAGGACCTTGTAAAACAAAAAACGACTGCCAAGTGTATAGTGTTCCTCACCTTCACCTTCAACCAGAGCCCTTGTGTCTTGGCCTCCACATCAACAGAAACCCATAACACTCCGACTCACATCACCTGTTTGTGAGGAAAAGTACTCTTCGCAGGGAGGCCATGCCATCCATTTCAGTGTTAATTAGACCAGCCAAGGACACGAGGAGAGCAAACCTTATTGCTACATATTTGCCACTTCCAAAGGAAGCCCCTCCACTTTTCACCCACCTGGGCTTGGCATATTTCCCACCTGGGCTCTGCAGGTGTCTCGTTATTCAAACGGCTCCACCTGCGAGGCTCTTGGTGTCGCCGATCCGTTGGTACTCCGTCCTGTGACGACTGCAGACGGGAGGAGGCAAACGACGGAGGAGGGAAGCACCGAACGGTTAAGCAGCAGAGATGCAAAAAGGAGGCTGTTGGACCCAAAGCCTGTTGGAGTTAAGAGCCTTTTCGGTCCTTGAAACTATTTCAACTATATTTCAACAACTCAAAAGATACACACATATATATATATGAACCAACATTTTTTGGTACACTGTAGTATATATATATTATATATTATATCCATCATAGCTGGTATTAAAGCAACAACAACAAGTGGATACGAGAACTGCTCGAGGACACCACGGAGACAGCGCGGACCTCGTCAAGCTCCGGGCCAGATCATTGAAATGATCACCCTCCATTCGCCCTGCAGCGAACGCGCGGAGGTCAGCTGAAAGAGGGGGTGGAGGTCAGCTGAAAGATGGTCAGTTCAAAAACATGGTTGACAGTGCCACTCAAGCAAGTTGTGACGACCAATCGAGTTGTGACGACAACCAACTGGTTCTTCAAGTCTTGATGTTCTTCAAGTCTTTAAGCTATGCGATTTTGCTTGGGATGTCAGTCTAGATCCTCCCTAATCCTGTTGTGATTTTGGAAGTCAAAGTCAAGTCACTTCAAACGGCAAGGACCGTTCCAACCGCCGCCGCCTGCGAGGCCGGCCGTTTCAAACGGCGCCCCGCTGCGGGCGCTTTGACGGGCAGCGGCTTCGGGCCAAGAGCAACACCATCACAAGCCTGTGGATGCAAACTTTCAGGTCATCTGGCACTTTCAAGTGGCTGGACTAGTTTGAAGCACTCTAACTGCAACCTAGCACCCCCAAAAAGTACAAAAAGACTAGATGGCTCTAGTTTCAGTGTTTGCTACGCCATACAACCATGATATATACCGGACAAACATGTCGAAGTGAATGGAGGTGTCAAGCTGCTACAGCTCGACGCTACAGTTTTCCTGGGTGCAGGGTGACGCAGCGGAATGAGCTTGAGCCCCCGTTTCAATGAACAGACTTGTGCTTAGTATAAGGCTGAAATGGAAGGTAAGGTTATGAGGTCTTTCATGTAAGGGAATGGATCTTAAGGCATCTCTTGTGGGGGTTCATTCCGTCAATTCCCGACTGAGCACAAGTCAGTGAAGAATGTTGCAAGGGTGGAGGGAAGAAGTGTGAATTCGGATGTTCACTGGATGGCCGGCCCAGTCACTCATGAAAGGCCCAGTCATTCGAGACTTCTATAGCTTCTCACCCAAATGGCCACTTCTCACCCAAAAGGCCACCACTAAGGCCAGTAAGTATAGGCCAAGTGAAACTTACACTCCCACTCACCAACATGGAAGTGTAAGAAGACCATTTTCCTCTACAAACAGGTGGTGAACTCTGCTTCCATGTTAGTGAGTCAGACGGTATGTGATCCAGCCATTTCACCCTCGACCCTGAACGCTGGTTGGTTTGTCCCCTAGCCAAGCAAGTTGCAAAACGACCGGCTGGCTGGTCTGGTCCAAACAAAGTTCCAGCAAGCTCTTGTTATTCTTTGGGTCCTAAAGAACATCCTTGCTTAGTCCACTTAATAGGTGCTTAAGATGCTTCTGCATCTGATGCTTCATCTCCTATCGTGCCCTACTCCCAAGCTGCACATCCAATACACGTCGTCCCAGAATCCTGGAGATACTGCTCTCTTTGGGAGGTCTTTTGTCGTTTTTGGCCGTTGCTCACACTTGTGGTGTTGCAGTCCGGTCCTACCTGCTCTAAAACTCTCAGGCCGTGGGAGGCAAAACCCATCAGTTGCGTCCTCCGAGTAATCCCTCTTTGTAAGAACCATTTGAACGTAGCAGCCACTTTGTCACATGGTGATTTGATGACTTGATCTTTTTGAACATCAAGTGGGATTTGCAATACTGCCTCGATATGAGACGAGACAATCAACGCATACAGGGCAAAACACATGTGGCTCCTGCTTCTGCAAGAACCAGGTCTGTAAAGTGATGCTCACAGTGCGGCTCGGCAACATCACTCCGACTGAAACACGGTCGAAACTCACCTTGTCCAAACATCGGTATGGCAATGCAAAAGCAAAAGCAGACTAGGCACCCATCTAGCTTGTAGCTAGGCAAGTGCTCACTGTAGTGCCGGCAGCAAAACTACCTCTTGTGAACGCCCCTGGTGGAAGAGCGCAGTCATCACTTTATCAAACAAACTCATGTGCCTGAATTCTCCAAGTACTCTGCCAAAGTACAAAAAATCAGGGAATCCATCTACAAATTCTGCAATCTACCTAGGACTCTTCACCAATCTAACACCATAGCGTGCGACCGTCCGGGCTCTTTACAACTTTACATCGTCGCGCCCGGTCTAACTGGCGACATCGTCGTGCGAAATCATCAAATCGTCATCATCACCTGTGCTGATGTTTGCCTCAGCTGTGTTTGACGAAGGGACAAACCGAATAGCCATAACTGCATCCTTGGGGTATTTTTGACAACACCATGATGTAAAACACAAATACTTATAAACAACGAAGCATAATGAACCTATATTTAAGACATAAACTGAACTGCAAACATGTGCAATATCCATTGAATGACAAAACGGAAACACGCAGAGACATCCAATATTCCTCCGAGAGCCCAATCCGAGTCTCTTAGGAACAAACACCAAACTGTCGTGCAATCATGCAATCTCATGCAATCATGCATCTAGATCTTGTCTAAGAACCACATAGAACCACTGCAGTTAATATCATTTAATATCTAAAGAATCAATGAACCTTACCCCTAAGAATCCAGGACCGGACGGACTTCGCCGCTTTTGAGGCTTTCCTGCCAGCCTTTCCTGCTCGCAGGGGGTGGGTATTTTTACCCCTCAGGTTCAGAGGGTGTCTTCCTCCATGTCTTCCACCGAGCAGCTCCTTCGCCAACTTGGTCCATTGAGTCTCCTTTCCTCAGTAGTGAAAACGGCGCAGCCTTGTCTCGCGCGCAGTCGATGAACACCTCTTCTCGTGCAGTCGATGAACACGAGTTCGGTTCTGAAGGCTCAGGTGGTTAGGATGTTGGTGTTTGAGGTTTGGCACGTGTTCATCTCAAAAAAATATACACATCAAAACGAACACATGCCAAACCATCAGGGTTTTGTTAGAACAGTGTTGATAAAGCCATTGGGAAATGAGGTTGGTCTTGTTTGTTTGGTTTTGACTTCTTTGTTTTCTCTCTCTCCACATGACCCGGATTGATTGCATCACATGGCTGCATACTTGCAATTCATCCAGACCAACTAAACCTCAATAGCTTTCAATGCCTATAAAGATAGAGGGGGGCCCCAAGGGAGGTGGAAGACTCATGAAACACAGGCAAAAGACATTAGGCATGTTTGATTGTCAGGGTTCGATTTTATGTTTTGAAGGAACAGCCTCAGACTCCAAGCCAATGTCTAGTTTCACGTCTCCTGCCTACCGAGGACGACCGAGTTCGCAAGTTAGATGTGGAACACCCGCATCATGAGCTGAATATGCATCAGTTCCACCAGTTCCTTTCAAACTGAATACACCACTCAGCCGTTCTTACACTCAGCCTTTAACCGTTTAGTGTTGTTTAATGCTCCTTTGATTTGGTCGCAGGTCTTTCCCTCCAGCCTTGCAGGTGTTTTCCGGCCAAGGCCGGCCTTTCCAACCAACAAGACCTCTATGGAACTCGCACCGGGCGACCATCAATGGTGTAGACCGTGTAGATCTCATAGTAAAGGCTGGGCGTCCGTCCGCAGTTGCCTTCGGCGGCCCGGCCAACGGCAATTCGTCCCCTGGACTAGATCCAATCGGTGACGTAGTGGCTTGTTGGGGTGTGACTGGTCATCAAGCTATAATATACTATACTTTTGTCTGAGAATTACATATAGTTATCATTAGTTAGTTGTCAAGATCGGTTTGTTTTGGTTGCAATATGACAAAATCCATCTCGATTATATAACATGTTCAAGGATGCTGCCCTTTGCGCTTAAATGAATGGTTACGTGCGACATTAGAAGAACACAAAGCGTCATACTCCTGATTATTATACTCATTGTTTTAGGGATCTGGAGCACATCAGTCACCGAATGGGTTCAGTTTATTAGATGATGTTATGTTTGTGTGAACATATTTTCTTCGGGGGATGGTGCAGCACGAGCAACACAAACAAGTCCTTCTGGATCAGCTTGACTAAATAAAACACCCTGGCCCATAGCTGATCTGCGGACTTCTTTACACAACCCCACAGAAAGACGCTTTCTGTTGACCTATCCAGCTCTCAGCGTCTCTCTTTTTGGCTTGTTGCACCTATCATCTTCTGGAAAACCGGTCTCAGGCCTTGGAAGCGCTCCCAGTGATCGCCCTTCACCGAGGAGTCCGCCTGGACCATGTAGTTCCGTGTGATGCCTCGCGTGGGAACTGCCGCGTCACTGCCGATTCGCCGCGTCTGTTGGTGGAGCTCGGAACCCGCGCGGCGTGGAGCTCGGAACGGCTGGGGGGGGAAGAGGCGTCCACCCGTGGCCTCTACGGCTGTTTTTTTCAGGTTTTGGTTTTCGTTGCAAGGTGTCAAAGTCCCAGTTTCAGTGTCAGTTGCCTTTTTTGGGGGGGGGTCCCCGAAAACAGTAGACAAACAGCAATCCTAGCTCAATCAGACTGAGAACCGTGTGTTGGTGGCCAGTGATTGGGCGATTGTGGCACTCATGCAGCAGGCACAAATGCTGCTCCTTTGTGTGCACCTAGTCATAGCCACAGCCACAAAAATCATGTGATTTGCCGTTGAAATATGCAATTAATACACATGTGGGAGCACTGGAAGAAAACAACAATAAATCACAAACACTGGACCAGCAGGCCTTCGTCCTAAAAGCACTATCCAACAGCACACTGCAAAGCCCAAAGGCTGTAATTACCGAACTCAAGACACTTCTCATCCCTTCCTCCCCATCAAGCTATGGCTGCCTGACTGACGGTACACCCGAAAAATAGTTGCCTGCCTCCCTGCAATTTCTCGCTCTAACACTGGGACCACTGTTTGGGCAGCAGCATGATGTAAGTGTTCATCCAATTGAACACAATATCTGCTCTACATTTGATCGTTGACACATGCTTTACACCTCATGGTTGTGTTTTGACAATCTCCATCTACCCCTTTTCGTCCCAAACAAATACACAACCCTTTTCGCCTCGCATCGCCCGCGACTCCCGCGCACTTTTGCACCGAGAGACAGCTTGGGATGGGCGCCCACCCAGGGATGCACGGGCAACCTAGGTGTCCGCTGGTGCGTGCCAGTGCCATGAAGGGTTTGATTGATCACTCGAGGATTTGACAAGCTCTAGTCGAACCAAAAAGTCGGGGCATGGTGCGCAAGTGACCTCCTTGGATCTTGCCTTGCTTCAGCCGCTTTCATGATCTCTTCCTAGGATGCGGCCCAAAGAACAAAGAAGTGTAATGCAACCAGGCTAAGCTGCCTTCGTAATGCAACCAGGCCTTACGGGAACTACCGGCCTGGGCCTTCTTTGGCTGCTTCGAGTTTGGCATCTTCTGTTGCATCTTCTCCGCCACTGTCCAACCTCTAGCGAATGAATTAAAACAAAACAAGTACAGGTTCATTTGTCAGTTATAAGTATCACCAAACTGCTTGAAACAAGCAGAAGCAAACTTAAGATCGAAGTGGGAAGTAGTCCCCCAAAGCCTGATGAACTTACAAATCAAAGCAATCACAAAGTGCTGAAAGTGCAATAACGCACAAGTAGCATATTCAGCATTTTGAAAGCGTATACTGTATACAAACAAACAAAACTCACATATCAAAAATAACATTCTTGAAATAATGCAACATGCTTCCTCTCCCATCCACTATTGAGAAAGGCAACAGCAGCAGCAAAAGACACCCAGATTTCCTGAGTTGCCGCTGCAAGCATTCCACCTTTGGCCATGAACTAGACCATCCATGTCGGGGTCGCTTCAGGGGTCAATGTAGGCATGTATTCCATACTTGGAGTGCCTGCGTAATGGCTAAACCTTGACATCTACAACACTCGCCGTGGACCTAATTACATGTTTCTCAATGAAAGCACCGCATGCAAAATGGACGTGAAAGTGTTCTGAAGCTCTCCATATGCCCACAACAAGAAGCACATTTGGATTTCTGGTGGGAAATCCTTGCTGATCGTCCACAACCACCGGCGTAGAAATCCTCATTCAAAATCGTGTGTTGATCGTTCATGTAGGATGCTGCTCTGCGAAGCTTGGAGAAACCTTGCAATCTACTGCATTCTGGTTGATTTGAGTCCATTGTAGTTCGCCAACCGCTCACCTGTAACTCGAAATCACCAAAACACCAAAGAACGGAGAATGTGTCTGTCAAAACCAACAGGGAAGACCAGATTTGAATGATCCATAAGAAAACAATTCCATTCCATGGTCATCCACAAGAAGTGTGTATTCTCTGTTTGTTTTTACCTTCACCAAGCCTCACCATCCGCCCAGCCGAAGTGGCCTTTCGGAATGATCTCCGCTTGTTGGAAATCCTCCGAGAATTGAAACCTCGATGCATCGCCCAACAGGCGGAACACGGAACACTCGCCCGAGGCCTCGCCCGAGGCCCGAAGAAAGCGGCAGCGATGTCGCACGGCGATTTCGCACGACGCAGTGGGCGCCACGCAGGGTTGGCAGAGGGGTCACCCAGAGGGATGAAGGGGTGGCTGTGGCTCCGTTCACCCACCCAGGGGCCCGGAACTCGGTAGGCTGACCTCCGTAGTCCATTCTGTTCATGCTTTATTTGTCAAACAGGGTTCGGAGTTCGGGGGTTTTGACCCCACAGCCAGGTTGTTTGCACCTGAACGTCTCAGACTCGAACATGTCGGAACATGTACCTGACTGTCGGGATGCGGTCACCTGGTCACCTGACTGTCGGGTCTTCACATACCTCTCTCTCTCTCTCTTAGCTGGCGGTCTCAGACCACGGACAATCTCACTCTCACTCACTCTCTCACTCTCTCACTCACTCTCTCACTCTCTCACTCTCTCTCACTCTCTCTCACTCTCTC